CCTTTCCCAGGTGGCAATCAATTTGCTAGAGGGGTAGAGCCCCTTTGCCCCAACTTATCTACGCTCATGCTCACTATCAGCTTATTGCATCTAATTAACACTCTCCAAAAACTTGTCATTTATTTTAGAGACACTCTGCAGAACCGAAACTGAGCTTTTAGTTTTGTGTGGACTAAATTTTCGGTTATTACATATGCATTATTAAAAACAAGCCAAATCATCTTATAAAAAACCATTTTGTTGTTGTTTGAGTGATAAACTATGATATATACCTANTAACTAAAAATTACTTCATCGACTGTAATCCAATTTAAATTTATACGTTGTTTGAGGCTCGCTCATTGTCAGTGATTTATTGAATAAATGTAGGTGCATTGGCGGGTATGGACTTTGATTACATATTAATCGTAATTAATTGATAATTATGCTATTTGCATGCTAGTGGCGATTCGTTGAAGCGTTATTGTAACAGGGTCAATTAGAATATAAAAGGTTTAAGTAAATGTTCATTAGCTGGGTTTTGTTTAAATTCGTAAAATCATAATTTTGAAAAATAATTTTTCCAGTTTTTTTTTTAATTGATCTCCTAAAACTTTGCCAGGAAAAAATTTGAGTACCTTAAAAATAACAACGATATACAAGATGTCTCATGGTGACCACCCATTAGAATATTTCGGAAATTACTTCAATCTGAATTTTGAAAATTTGGATAATAGCGTAATTGGGTATGCTCTCCTCAATTAAAATAATGGCATCTATGTAGTACTTCTAAATGTTAACTGTTTTCGAGAAAAATATATTTAAAGTTAGAGTCAAAGATCAGTCCGACCCTAGTAGCAGGGAAACACGACACTGCAACGCCCCATTCAATATGCGAACTAGCGCCGAATCTTGACTTCTTCCATGTTATAGTGCGCCCAATTTTAAAGAAACAGTTGCTGCATCCTTATCATTTGCAGCGAGTGCAAATTTGCAGGAAACTGATTTTCAGCAGCGGTTGGATTTGTGTCAGTTGGCACGAAAGTGCTTCAAATGCAAATTTTTCCTATAGGGTGCAGGACCGTGTGATGATCGCTGCAAATGAAAATCATCAAATGCCCGATGTTTTTGTACGAGTAAGAAATAATTTTAGTAGTTTAATTCTGCTTTCTATCGCCTGGTTTTAATTTCGAAAAATTTTTGTAGTAGAACCAATGACTCCTTGATAACTATGCAGTAAGTTGTTGGCCTAGTTTAGGACAAGTGGCATTCTATCCACATGTAACTGCTCAGTTCTTATCATCAAGATTTAGTACCAATTTCGGATTTTGTTGTAGTTTTTTACATATTTTTTGTCTGTTAACCATTTTTTCTGTCCGGGTGGGGGTCACATTTTCAACAGCTTAAGTTTATATAGGTTTAATTTGTTTGGTTTAATGTTTTTAAACTCTATGCCGATATCGTGATTAGAGCCTTTCTTAAGGGGTAATTTGCTGGAGGGGTAGTTAACACCCTCTGCAGAACCGTAACTGAGCTTTTAGTTTTGTGTGGACTAAATCATCTTATAAAAAAACATTTTGTTGTTGTTCAAGTGATAAACTATGAAATGTACCTATACTCGGCAAGCCTAGGGAACCATGTGCCTTAAGAATGTAAGAAATAAAATAAAAAGAGTAGTCAAAATTATTAAAAACAATTCTATGGTGATGGTGTTGAATGTTCAACAATTGAATACCTTTCTACGATAACATTCGTTGGAGGTTATGATTAAATTGCCCCTTAGGCATATCACCAAATGTCTAAAACTAGGTTTGACATCTGATAAAAAGCTCTTGTTAGGGTTCCAAAACAGGTCCTTCACTAAGTATTCGTCTAAGCATGTAGTGAAGAACCTTACGAGGCATCTGATTTATTTTAGTACTTGGTTAGACGCCCGGCCTGGAGTGTGGTGTATGAAGTACGATGTATTATTACTACAAGTACTATTTGTTTGTGATTCTCTCGATATTTAAATAACGCGGAAATTAAGTATTTTAAAAGATCACACAACACACAATAAGATGATCTTAGTTTCCATTTAGTTCTTATTTTTTGTTTATTTCAAGTGGGTAACGAGAATTTTAATCACCTTCAGTAAAGCGTCCTTTTGACGAAATAAAAATGTTTTTTACGATTCTTTTATTTACCTTACGCTCTAGCGCGAGCATTAAGTGAATTTCCAATACATGCACACATACAAACAGTTATATATACACGTGTTGTTTCTTAAAAGTTACTTGACATCATCTTCGTTTTTATTAACTCTGTTATTATTATTCGTTGGCAATCTCTGTCAGACCTTGGCGACCTCTCACTATTTTCAGTAATGGCTGTGGTTTTTCAAAGTCATCTTTGTTAACTAGATAAGAAAAGCAGCTAGATGAGAAAATCATTTTTTTTGTCATAAATACATAATTGGCTAGATACTTAACAAAGCACTTGGTACTCCAACACAGCAGTAAAATCAAAATACAGGGTGTATACAGCAGCATCCTTACAGGAGGTGATAAGGAGCTATAAAATAAGAAAAGTAACTAAATGTTTACAGGTTCGAAAGTTCACTAAAATGCGACAATGCAACGCTGTATTCAATCAACCGGTATCTAGCAGCATCTGTGTTGTATTTCTTTTGTCTTTTTTTGTTTTGTATTGTTTATTATTTGTTAGATTAGATTAAGAGTGATTTAACATGTTTACGTTACAACTATCTGCAGTTATTTGCTTTTTTAACGTTGTAACCTTGATGTATTTTAGTCAATCGATGGTAGATCAGTGCGTCCGTGTTAACGATCAAATTGTACAATAATCGCAAGGTACACACTACATTTGCTGGTCGCGAGCGTCAATGCCCAAACCATATCACCCCTAATATGAAATACTTAATTTTCATATATGACAACCCCAAAGTAGTACACGTGAAATAGCATGCAATGTTGACTTCTGTGACAGTGTGGCAAATGTTAAATGTACAGTTGCTGCATCTTTATCATATACAGCAAATGCAAACCTTCCAGGAAAATGATTTTCAGTTATTTTAGTGGATTTATATCAGTGATTTCGACAGCAAAGTACTTACTGTAGAGGTAAATTGTTTTCATAGAGTGTTGTTTACGGATAAATAAATTTCACGAAATAATGTAATTGCCGAACTTGTTTTCTCGATTCAAAAATAATGTTGGTAGATGTTTCGTCCAGAACCGGCTTCGGATTGTAACTAGTGTTTTTTTACAATTTTTTTGATTCTTAATCACGCTGCTGTACCTACTCTTTATGCGATTCCCTATTACCACCCAGTATACAGGTTGAGATGGCCAAGGTTCATGTCATTTTAAATCACCTGTCTCTAATTTAAAGAATTTTACCTAATAAAAAGTTCAGTATCAATAACAGAAAGATAATCATTGAGTATAAAAAGACGCCGGTAACTTATTTTTGGTTGTTTTCACCAAAAATGTCAAATGTAATTTAATTAATTTTGGAAAGTGAAATAAAAAAACTGACGCAACCCAACTCAACCCTAACCTAACATAATATAACTTAACGGTAAAAAATTGAATATTGAAGCTGAAACAAAGCTGAATGTTCAGTAATAATAAAATAACCAGGTAGTGTTTTACTGAGTGTTCGGTATATATAATGATCTTTTTAGTTTTGAATTTTTAATCATATTTACCGAATCTTTCTTAATTTACTGAGCATTCGAATTGAATAATGGGAATATGTACTTTACACTTCAATGTGACAATGTACGGATTTAATTTGTAGCGGAGGTATTAATTTTAATTAGTATTGGCTTGAAAATAATTATAGAAAATGCATAAATGAATGGGTACTTACCACTACATTCGGTATTATAAGTCACTGAAAAGATAATCAATATACAAGGCGTAAATAGTACCTAATTCATTAATTAAGTTCGAAAAGTCCTCCAAAAGATCTGCAAGTTTTAATTGGGTTCTAAATTAGTAGAATAAATATAAAAAATGGATACACTTTTCAGTTTAAATATTGACTCAATAAAAAAAATGTATAATGATATAAGACGATTTATTAATTAGTATTGGAAAATTTTAAGTGAAGAGTGCTGAAAATTTTAGTTTAAATTGGTATTGTTATACTTAATCGAAACTAACGATCAAGATTAGACGTTTTATTGGAATGTATTATTAAATATATAGGGCGACATAATTGTCAAAAGATTTTTAGTTGCAAATAGTATACTTCGTTTACTTTCTGTAGCGATGTGACCTTCAGTTTGACCGGCGCAAAGTAGAAAAGAACAGCATTAGGCCATAAAAGGAAGGAGACAACTCTCGCCCAAACTCTTAACCGGTGAGGAGCGTATAATCCGTACAGTACTACACGGAAAAATTGAGCATTTTATCCACTACAATTGCAATGCTCAAATGTGCTGTTATTGGTACCATTTACTACTGAAAATATCAACGAGATGTTTATTTATATTTGAAGACATATTAAAGGCTTTACCGCTTGTTTTCGACTCGCACTACTATTCATGATTGAACAAAACTTTTGGCAGGTACTGTATGAAAAA